CTTCTTCTGTATGTTTGTTCCTATTGTGACCCGCTATTTCCGGGGTGCCTTGATAGTCGAAGCAGACTTTGTGTTGTTGAGGCTAGAGAGGTGAGCAGAGTAAGCCTGATTTGATTCCCCGTTTTGGACTTCTCTGTTGACATCCTCCTCTTGGCATTCATATGACCTTACGCAGTTGCGAGCGCCGTAAAACCTTTCTAAAGTAAGGAGAGGTCTCGAGTCGAGAAGAAAGGATGGAGACGCAAAATAAACAGGCACAAAAGAGTTACATCTACAACCCAGTCTAAGCGATTTCAGAAACTGTGTCAGTAATTATCATAATAATGGCGGAGCTAATGCCCCCGTGGCCTCTGAATTCTTTACCGTAAGTTTACGGTTGGCCTACCCTATATATATAATCACCGAGTTAACTCTTAAAACGTACGGCGCGCCAACTCACTTTACGATTATTGCGTGCGATCATGTTTAGTCAAAACAAAAATCTACTAATACCAAACTTGATATTTATTGCATGGGTATTTCTATTCAGTTTGGTGTTTAGTTTATTCAAAAAAGCTAGATATAAGAGTAGGCCTAGATTCGAGGAATAGGGGCATATGTGGAGCTGAGGTGAGAACTTGCATGACATATTATGTTGGCTGTGCATATAGAATGGTCGTTGTTGTTTCAAACCTAATTGCTGAACATCAAAATTGTGAGGAAAAACATGAAGAATGCCACCCCCCCCTAAAAAAATAATTTAAAATTAAAAATAAATAAATAAATAAAATAATAAAATAATAAATTTTAAAAAATAATAAAAATAAAAAATAATTAATGAAATAAAGTAAATGAAATGAAAATAAAAATCAATCAATCAATCAATTAAATCCCAAATTGTTTTCCTTCGTAAGGGGATAGGCATGCCCCCCCCCCCCCCCCCCCCCCCTTGCTGATTGTTCCAAAGTGCGGAAACTACTACGTAATTAGGCTAATTAGAGTAGGTAGAATAAAAACCGTTTTGTCAAATTCTGGAGTCCCGAGAAAATTAGTTTCTTGGTAAGTAAAGAGGAGGGGGCGGGTGGATTATAACAGCGACCCAAAATGTCGCGTATAGCCTCGAGTGGTGCATGGCTCTTGATATGGATATCTTGGGTTAAGTAAGTGGGGACGTATACCAAACTGATCCGGGTTGATCGTGCTGTCCTGAGTTTTTCTTGCTCTCAATCTCCTTTTAAAAAAATCTTTCCATTGGTTTTCAACTGATTGTTACTTTGTCTTTCTGTTTTCACCAACCTCCCTCTTTCCTTTCTCATCTCTTTTTCTTCTAGTAGATTTTTTTCCAGCCAATTGTATAAGCTACTAGGTCCTTCGATCTCCTGGTAATACTGGTAGATGAGAGCTAGGCGACTTAGAATCGAATCAAGCTAGTACAACTTTTGTCACAGCGAGTGGAATCACTGGAAGAAGAATATAGGCCTACTGGATAGAAAACGAACAAAATTATTGGAATAAACGAATACAGATTCAAATATAGGTCTCCCATTCATTTTGCAAGGGCTGGGTGGTGGGGGAGGGGCAATTGTGATTAGGCACAAAATGATCTGCGTAAAATATTTCAGGCAGCCTTAATTCTGTTTTCTTTCTTCAATAAAGCACATTCCCAATCTCGTAAAGTTGCACCAATTATTAATAGGCCTGTGGTTATGGCGAACAACCCCGAAACATGATATAATAAATAATTGGGAAGGGACACAGGTTTTTTTGTGCTCCCCTGAATACTTATCATAAAGCATAGCAGTGAGGGGGGTAAGCCACGTCGAGGTTATTCAGGGACGTCCAAAAGAAACTTGAAAATGTACTCTCCTGGCCATCGTGATAAAGCATTGCACTACTCACTCATGCAACATACCAAATTAAAGCTAATTAAATTCTGCATCATCTGACACATCAAATTTATCCGAGATACCATATCATCATTGCCTTTCTCACCCTGGATCTGGGTATAGGCCACTGACAAACACAAAGACTTTCCTCCCTTCTCTATCCTGGGTTAGCCTCGTGATGTTATCAGGTCTTCCCGCTTTTCTGTGCCTCAATATCTGTGACTCTTCTCCAGGTTCCACGCGGTCTTCCCCTAATCTTTTACCCTGTGGATTCCAATCCAACACTTTATTGCTATGCAGCTGCCTGATTTTTAGAGAGTTATGTCCAATACATCGCCACTGCCCCCCCTTCCCTTCCCATCTCTCTCTCTCTCTCTCTCTCTCTCTCTCTCTCTCTCTTTTCACACCCACCACCTCCCAAACCTCCTTCATTTCTCTTGTATTCCTCCCCATCCCCCCCACCCCCTCTCTCTGTCTTGTCTCTTTACTCTCCTTTCTTCCCTCTCTCACTTCCCTTTTTTTCTATATGTCCCCACCTCTCTTTCGCTATCAATTTCATCCCTCTCTAATTCTCTCACTCCATCTCTCTCGCTCTCATTCACTCT